AAATGCTAATATTATGCTCCCTCGAGAGCATAGTATAAATCTACTCCCTTGGTGAAACCAACTCCAGACTATTTTTTTCAATCTAAAATTCTGGGAACCACCTAAAAATCACTACATGGTTACTCTTAGAAGAAGAAAACAAATGTGAAGTTTGAGTTCTATAGCACTTAGATCTCACCCTCTAAAAACTTAATGGTTCCTATTCAATCTTGAGACATTATTTTTTTCAAATACAAAAGGGTGCAATTCGGTATTCTTTTTATTTTTATTGAGGTTACTCTGTGGTAAAAAAGGTGACAACCCCAAAATACTTGGTCCTAAAACTAATCCTAAGGCAAATTTTGTGTGAGGGAGTAAATGAACAGTATATTTCTCATGAAGTATAATAGTTTTTGGCATATACTCAAATAAAGTAATTTAAATGAAATGTAAATGACTTTTCATTGACTTCCTGATCCATAAAAAGGAGAAAAAGTGATAAAAACTTGAGACTGTGCAACTTCTCCTTGATGCATTCATTCCACCTACTTGGAATGGGAGGGTGTTATGAGGCTTCCATACATGCATGCAATAGTGAAATTTTTCTACATCATGCCCAATTTTTTTATACCAAACTTACCCAATATTTACAGGTGAAGAACATAAAGAGGTGGAGTGATTTTTCTAATGGGTTGGGTAGAAGTTAAAATAATATTGTTCTTTATTTCCATAGGAGCATACTATATATATTTACTCCCTCGAGTGAAACCTAACCTTTATTTCCAGGACCGAACTGACAGCAAAGAGTGACGTTTATAGTTTTGGGGTCATTTTTACTCGAACTCCTTACAGGGGAGCGGCCGATTTCCTTTGAAAGATCCAAAGCGGAAGCCAACCTTGCGAATTACTTCCTGATGACTGTGAAAAATGGGCATCTTGAGGAGATTTTGGAGAAAGATGTTCTAAGAGAAGGCAACATTCAGCAACTGCGAGGTGTTGCAGACCTGGCTGTGAAATGCCTGAGACTGAAGTGGGGAAAAAGGCCTACAATGAAAGAGGTAGTGCAAGAGCTTCTGTGGCTCAAAGGTTCAACACAACATGCATGCATGGCTACAACAAAACGTCCAAGAGACAGGGCATTTATTCGGATACGATCCATCCTTCCCGTGCGACGGAGTAACAGGATGATTGCACATCAATGTAGGGGCCCTTGCCATAGAATCTGGCCGATGACCATCTTACTGTTGATGGAAATGACTACGGCCAGGTTTGGTTCATGGGAAATTTCTCTCCGAGACAGATTTCATTAACCAACCTGCTATCTCATGTTTGTTGAAAAACTAAATTCATGGAAACAGGTGACTACTTGTATTTCTTTAGCATGTAGATAGGGTTTATAATGTTGAAAAGTAATTTGTCTTCTCGTTCTCGTTCTCGTTCCTTCTCTGTAGATAATAATTCTTAAGACCCGGTTTACCTAAACCGACTCAGTGCTAGGTGAATTGATGTTTACGTGGTCACTCCATAGCCAACAATATGACCGCCATGTACTGGATGGCGGTTAGTTGAGTCTATATAGATAATAGATATTTGTGAGTGTTAAGCGGGATAGAATGGGCGAGGTAGGGCGTATGTAAAAAAAACGAGTAGTTGAGTTGATATTTTATTAAGAGACCAGCCCATAGAGTGAGTTAGAAGAACAAAAAAAAACAGATCACTCATGTGAGGTCCTGCATATCAGATGCAATAATGAAAGTGCCGTTGATTCAATCCAAGCTTCTTATATATTTTTTGTGTCGAAACTTTTATTCTATATTTTGCATTTTTTTTGTCACAACAAATTTCTATCGCATAAGATATATGATTTGCTTAAATTTGTTTCTTCAATTACCTCAACATATACATCTATATATTACAGATACTTTTCGACAACCCTCAAAATAAACTGTTACGAGCCACAAAATACTTTGCAAAGTGCTATGAATTCTATTAATGGATGAACCGGATTAGTCCGAAGAGAATCTGATAACATTGTTTATTATTGTCTTAAGTTTTGGTAAATTGTTAGATATCTTCAATGTTTAGAAACCCGACCAATTTCATTCGGACTTGGCCGAGTAACTCAAACTCGGTGTATATTTTTAGTAGAGTACTTGAGTAAAACTCTGGCTAATCGAAAAGATAAAAAATCACAAAAATTTTATAAAATTGCATAATCAATGTATAAGTATATTAATGTGATTTGGATGTGTTATTGACAACGATTTGTGAGTGTTTTCCTCCTTTTCTAGATTTTCCAAAATACCTCCAATTGTAAATTAAATTTCTGTAAATAGATGCTTTTTATGTATTTGGCAACTTATTTGGACTTTTTATATTGCTTTTGGTTTATGTTGATTTTTACAGTTTTTATTTTATTTTGAACATCTTTTGTGAATTATTCTTTTTTTAGGGCTTTTTTGGCCCTCTATGCTACTTACAGACACGCCTGAGTAACTTGGCTCAGGCCAGGGCAGAGGCCCAAGCCAATTTCCAAGACATTGCTCTTCTACTCTGATGTATTCGTGAAAAAAATCAGGTCCATCCAAAATAGTTAAGAATATCTAGAAGGATATGCAATTATCCTGGTATCTCATTACCCAGAGTGAGTGTATGTCCACAGCAGCCTCTAATTTCATTGCCTGATGACCATGAAACAAAGAAAAAACATGCAACTTACACTTAGGAAATGTAGAGCACCATGATGAAGTTTTGAGCGGCTTAGAAAAAATTATGAAGAATGTCATGTAGGCAGATAGGAACAATATGTGTGTCAAGTATCATGAATATCAATCTCAAAATTGATCTTTTCAATGATTTCAATAGTAAGAATAAGTGTCTAGGTATATTATATAATGTTCGTGCATATTTTAGTCTAGTGACGTTGCAAGAAGTACATGTTATATTCTGAAATGTATAGTGATGAACTGTTCGAAAAATAAAATTTGAAATAACCTATTTGTAATGTTCAAAGTTCATTTTTTTAGATTATGAAGTATGGTGGTTGAAACTATTGGCTTATAAAAATTTATTGCTTCAAAATCCATCACTAGGATGGATTCCTAAATGAGACTACGTTTGAGTAAGTGCCCTGTTGACACACCAAAATCTCATCTACAAACAGACGTGTACATGTATAATTTATGGAAAAGTATATAAAAGAGACTATTTACTTTTGGTACAAGGAAGTCACCATCATTCTTGTCCGTTGAATTTCAATTCAGGTGGTTGTAAATGTGCCATTGACTGGTTCAAAATTTAAATAATTTTTCTTGTAATTTCATCCATTTTGAAATTGGATGGCTGGAGATACTTGTGACCTCCTTATAACAAAGGTTAACAAAGACAAATGGTCTTATAGTATACAATCTCTCTCCAAGAGTCAAAAAATTTTCATTTAAGAGACATCATGAACAAAGTTAAAGAAAAGATTAAAATGCATAAGAGAAACCATTAAAATATATAATTTATATATATATATATATATAAGACAAGAAAAAAAGAAGAAAGAAGTTTTGTAAAAAGTCACTTACATCATCATCTAAGTGTATTATTCAATGACGCCACTCACCATCAACTAAAAAAGTAGTCCCCACCAAACAATCGGCATCCTTGTTAAATGCCAAATCCGTCCCAAACCAGGTTGCCCCAACTTACAATATTATGCACCATTTTAACACAAGTGAACCTTGTGGGAGCAAATTGTACATTTGTTCTTTTTGGACCTTAATTTTTGGAGATGTACAACGAAAACTTGACAATAGCCTCAAAGAAAACAAATATTCAAATGGTTGTGTGACTAAAAACTATTTGATTTTCGGAAGGCAAGATTAAGGTGTTCAAGAACTCAAAAAAAAACCCTACGCTTTATGAAAACAAAATAAAGTTAACTCAAATTATTGTTCAAAAAGCATTTTCGGCAATAGAAATTTCCATGATGGTTTTAAAATCAATTTCCAACAAGGACAATAAAATTCAAAACTCAAAAAATGGTATAGATTTATTGGATTTATAAACACTTATTTTAAGGTGAAGTAGCCAATCTAGATAATTTGTTACAATATACACTATTTTTAGAGCCTGAAATCCTTTCTTCTTATTTTTTCACAACCATAATGTTCAAGATGTTTCGATTAGTTAGGCTTTGCTTGTTTTGATCGGGCTGCAGCCCTATCAAACTTTTTTCCTTAGATATATCCTAGAATTTGGGTTAAAACATATCATGTGGCTCTTTTCCTGTTGTATAATATGCTCCTACGGGAGCATATAATATGTGTGCTCCACAAGACCCCTTTAACGTTCTCACAATTGGATTTAAATACTCAAATAATGGAACAATGATCCATGGATAACTTTTCAAATGATGTTTTATGGGTCGGGTTATCTTCAATTGACGATAAAATGAAGATTCCATGGATAACTCTTCAAATGATGTTTTATGGGTCGGATTATCTTCAATTGACGATAAAATGAAGAAAAGTAGACTTAAGTAGTTTGGTCGTGTATACTATCGCCCTAAAATAGCACTTGTTAGGAGGGATGATTTGTTTCAAGTGAAAGGCTCTAAAAGCCTCAAATTTATAACTCAATAATAATAAGGGGTTGAATCCATTTATAGTTTCGGCCAATAGCTCAGATTGAATGATTTTAACTATTTATTTAATCCCATGTTGGATTACTAAAGCTAAACTTCCCTCCACCAACCCAAAATATAAAAATAACATGTAAAAATGAGGGAAAGAGGAAAGGGGAAAAACTCGTGCGCATGATAACTAGCAGCTGAAGGGAAAAAAAGAAAAAAGAAAAGGAAAAGAACAAAACGTGTGGAAAAGTAACACAGAGACTCTGTCTTCTTGACCGACTCATTCTCTCTTTTAGCAAGAGCACAATTAACTTGCTAGTCGCCCTATAAATAGACCCATTGCAGGATCAAGAACATGGGAAGCTTTGATGGTAAATGAGAATTGGGCTTGAGTAGTTAGTAGCATTCCTACCGCTCAGCAAAAATTTTATTTTGCTAAAAGCAAACCAGTTTTAGCAGGCAAAAGTTATTACAGATTCCAAGCGGATTTAAAGTGCGGGTGCCCACTAAATATGAAGTCTCTAGGCTGCAGCTGCACATGGAGGGAGCATTCGAAAAATGGTGTGTGGCTGTGGGCCGTGGTGGTGCTTCATCTCAGAGCCTTTGGTCTCTTTGCGTTGGCGAGCATGGCAAAGCCGGGCTGCGAGGAGCGATGTGGAGATATGGAAATTCCATACCCTTTCGGGATGGGTGACGAGGGTTGCTTCGTGGAGGGCTTCGGCATAACCTGCAATCGCTCCGTCGTGCCCTCAAAGGCCCTCTTAGGAAAAGGAAACCTTCAAGTGATCAACATATCGCTCGCGAACGCTGAGGTCCGAGTGAACAACACTCGATCACTTTCCTACAGCTGTCGCAATGGAAACAGAGATAGCGGCTATGTGACACTCTCGAAAAGTGGACCATACACTTTTTCAAATAAGACTGTGTTCACAGCCATCGGGTGCGACACCGTGGGCTATGTTACAGATAATGATAGCTTCACCAGCGGGTGCGTTTCTAAGTGTATGAACCAAAGCACCGTGGTGAACGGGTCGTGTAATGGAATCGGGTGTTGCCAAACAACGTTGCCCAAGCACAAGAAGTACCTCCTTGTGTCTGCTACTAGTTTGAGCAACTACACATCGAGTAAGAAGTACAGTTGGTGCTCCTATGCCTTCCTCGCAGAGCGAGAGAGCTACAATTTCAGAGGAACGGATCTTCGACTATTCCTGAGCAAAGCAGATCTTGCAATTGTGCTGGATTGGGAAATAAGGAACGGAAGCTGCCTGTCGACTGCGAATTCTTCAAGTATTCCACATGTGTGTGGGGAGAATGCGGAGTGCATTGATTCGGAGAGGGGCATCGGGTATGTGTGTCGTTGCATCAGGGGCTACGAGGGGAACCCATACCTCAGTGGAGGATGCCAAGGTATGGACTCACTCTCTCTCCCTCCCCTCCCTTTCCAAACTACAACCCAATGTGTTTGTATGCGTATATATTTCTGTTAATCAATGCTTCACAACTCGGCTCGACCCACGGCTAGGCCCCAATCTGAGATACTTGGCCGAGTCTAAGTGGACTCGGCCTAATAGATTATATTTAAAAAAACCTGTAAAAAAATCCCAAAAAACAATGGTAAACGACAAAATAGGTTGGGGAGAGAGCATTCCGGAAGAGAGAATGAGAGTGAATTTCCACTCGCTTTAGAGAGAGAGATACGAATAGAGACGAAAAAAATTACGTAGAATTGGGCCCCTTAGAGAGAGATGAAAGGAGGGGCAGATCTGCCCCTCTTTTAAAGAGAGGGAAAAATAGTGTGGATCTACCCTCTTCTAGTGAGAGAGGGTGAAAAAGTTCTAGGGTGCCCTAGAATTCACCTCAGCCATCACCAGATGCCTAGTTACGAGATAATAGCCTAAATTTCCCAAAAATATATTTTAGATAAAAAAAATGTCGCTATTGATCTTGTTTTGTATTAGGAGACTAAGAAAGTAAATGTGGAGACTAGGGTTTTAAAAAACGCCGAGTCGAGCAGGACTCGCGCCGTTCGACTCGGGAATTGTCACAGAACGAGCCGGTTCCACATATAAAACGGGAACCGTTCGTGTTTAGAGAGAACGAGTTCCACACATAAAACGGGAACCGCCCTTGTTTAGAGAGAACCGAGCGGTTTTAAATAGTAAACTGCCCGATGACATCATCAACTGGCAGTTCTGACGTCACCACTCCGACACATCCCGCCCTTGTTTAGAGAGGAACGGGCGGTTTTAGACAGTAAACCGCCCGATGACATCATCAACCGGCGGTTCTGATGTCACCACTCCGACACATACCGCCCGTGTTTAGAGAGAAACGGGAGGTTTACCGTTTCCCGCACGTGTTTAGAGAGAAACGGGCTATTTTAAACGGTAAACGGCCCGATGACATCATCAACCGCCGGTTGCACATCCCTCCCGTGTTTAGAGAGAACCGGGCGGTTTTAAACAGTAAACCGGTGGTTCTGACGTCATCAACCGGCGGTTCTGACGTCACCACACATCAATCGCCGGTTTTGACGTCATCAACCGGCAGTTCTGACGTCACCACTCTGACACGTGCAACAAGCGGACACGTGCGACAAAATCACGTGTGAGGTTGCCCCAATATTTCCGCACGAATACCTTAGTTCATATTATATAGGTATTTATAGATCAAAGTTAAATACCCATCTTTCGATGTGGGATAATTCCCAACTATCATTAAACGAAAACGGAATGTAAATATATTCTATTGATTAACAACTTATAATCACATTCGGCGAGACAGTGGGATGGTTATGACCTTTGTTATTTCACTTGACCTCCCAAGGTCGAATCCCCTTGGGCGTTGTATATAGAGTGGTATAAATATTTTTGTAAATAATATAAAAGGCATAAAAAAGTGAAAAATAAAAAAGTTAATTTTTTGTATAGCAGTTAATTTTTGTTGTATATAATGGTATAATTATTTTTGTAAATAATATGAAAGGCATAAAAAAATAAAAAATAAAAAGTTTATTCTATTTGAAATCTCCATCTTTCTACTAACAATCTCTTTCACTAAATTTATTATAGAAACCTAAAAAAATAAATTTTTGAAAAATTGAAATGTTATTTCCAAAATTTGTACGCAGTTTATTAATTTTTACATTGATAACCAAATCTTTTATTTTATTTATTAAATTTTACATTATAAATCATGTAATGTACTATTTTTCTTACAGTTGTCAATAATACATTTTAAATTAGATAATATTATAAAATATTTTTAATTTTATATTATTTGTCTAATAAAATAATTATAAAATGTAAACTAATAATTATAATTTCAATATATAATATTATAATTAGTTAGGTTGTACTAATTTTGGATTATAGTTAGTTAGGCTGTAATAATTTGGGTTTTTTTAGCGGATTAGCGTTTTTCGCCAAAACGAGATTTTAATGGCCATTCTTTCATTGATTTAGTCTACTCTTTACTATAGTCCATGTATAATTATATATTTTATCCATGATAATTCTATGATTTTTCTTTTATGTGATGCAAATTTAATACTTAAGTTTATACACGAGCATCTCAATATTCATAAATTGATGAAAAAAATAAAAGTTAATAATGTAGTAACCTCATTTCTTATTGGATTCCTAAAAATTAACATTTATAATTAATTTTAATAATTTTTTCGGATTTTTTTGAAGCTTTAATCCGACCGATTCAATCAATTTCCCGATCCGGATAGCCGATTCGTCGATCCGGATTGGTTTTTGAAGTGCCCGATCTGTACCGATCCGCTTTTTAAACCATTAATGGAGACTATTTAGACTTCTAATGGGAATTTTAATTTAGCCAATATTAAAAACATCAACTTGGACAAAGTGTTTGCGACTTGGTCGAGCACGAGTTACACATGGGAGTCAAATTAACCCCCTAAGTCCAGCTCCCTTTTATATATATTATAGGTGTCTCTTTTATCAATAAACTGATTGAGGCTGTGATGGTTAGTGCACCTTATATAATAAATATGACCTCTTCATCAAAGGTATCAACGGCAGCTTTTTTTGAAAAAAATGTCATGGGCAAGATTCAAATGGGTAATGAATACAAATCCAATATGAATGTGGTAATGTTATACAACTTTTTTGAAAAAAAAATGCAATGAACTATTCTAACAAAGCATATATGAATTTACGGTAATGTTATACTTAACGTTTGAAGTTTGAAAATATTGTGTACAACTAACTCATCCAAAACTCGTCGTGCCCATGGGCCGAGTCCGAGTTGCCTGAGCTGAGTTTTAGAACTTTGTATTTACCCTACTGACCCCCAAATGGATGGCAGATATCAATGAGTGCTTGAGCAGAGGCCCGGACTACAAATGCTTTCAGGAAGCCACATGTGAAAACATTGGTGGAAACTATAGTTGCATTTGTCCAAAGGGACACAGAGGAGATGGACTTCAAAATGGAAGCCAATGCAGACCCGACGCATTTCCTATCTTCAAACTTATTCTAGGTTCGAAATAATACTCTCTCTCTCTCTCTCTCAAAAGATTACAAACAGTTTATATAGGGGAAAGGTTATACGTGTGACCCCACATAGTAGAGCTGCTTTTCAAGTATCAGATCTTGATCCAACGGCTCAGAGTGTGCTATTTCTAATTTTTATCCTGTAAATTATTTTTGCAACAAAATTTAGAACATGCATGCATCTAGAACTTTCAAGAAAATTCTGGTCATTTTCATTACAGAATATTTTGGTGTGACACGTGCGATCTGTTCGTTCAGATCGATTGGCTGATAAGTTGGGTCACTTGTAATTGAATATGTCTTCCCTTATGTAAGAACTCAAATTTAAATTTGGTACTTTCCTAATAAGTGGGGAAGAGACATGGCCCTTTCTCATGAACAATTAAGGCCCCAAAATCTCACTCCTTTAATGAATTGTATATATGTACGGGAGAGATGGTCTTTGGGTTGGTATCTTCTTATTTCTTTTTCTTTTTTCCATGTTAAGGGGTAGGAATAGAGTTCTTGACATGAGCTCCACTCAGACCACCCAAGCCAATGGCCTTAGATAGTAAATAAATTTCTTGTTCTTTCTCAAACTTTTAAGTCAAAAGTTTTAATGATTCTTATTTCTGTTATTGTCGAAAATATAGGAGATAACCCAATCAACAAAATCATAAGGTGATAATTTTTTCAACAGACGACACAACACCTGCAACGAAATATCATATCTAATTACGCAGATGCAACCTAATGGGCAGGTGCTGGTTTGGGTCTGGGCTTTCTTCTTGCATTCGGTTTCGGAAGCTACCTATCAATGAAGAAGATAAAGCTGGTAAAACTTAGAGAGCACTACTTCAAGCAAAATGGTGGCTTATTGCTAAGGCGACAGATCTCTTCTCACGAAGACAGCACTGCCGCACGGATATTCACCAGCGATGACCTCAAAAAGGCCACAAACAACTACGACAAATCGAAAATCTTGGGTGCAGGTGGCTATGGAACTGTTTACAAGGGAACACTGGAAGACAGCACAGTGGTTGCTATTAAGAAGGCTAATGTGGTGGATAAAGTCCAAATTGATCAGTTCATAAATGAGGTACTCATACTCACACAAGTCAATCACAGGAATGTAGTGAAGCTATTGGGTTGTTGTTTGGAAACCTCTGTTCCAATGTTGATCTACGAGTATATCCCCAATGGCACACTCGAGCATCATATCCATGGTAAGGATCTTTTGAAACGAATTTCATGGCCGGACCGCTTAAGGATAGCCCTAGAAACTGCAGAAGCACTTGCCTACCTACACTCGGCTGCTTCCATGCCGATTTTCCATAGGGACGTTAAGTCTGCAAACATTTTGCTGGACAATAACGGCACTGCAAAAGTTGGAGATTTCGGGATCTCCCGTATGGTTCCCATAGATAAAACCCAATTATCCACATTGGTACAAGGGACTTTAGGGTACCTAGATCCGGAATACTTTCAAACTGGACAACTGACAGCAAAGAGTGACGTTTATAGTTTTGGGGTCATTTTACTCGAACTCCTTACTGGGGAGCGGCCATTTTCCTTTGAAAGGTCCAAAGAGGAAGCCAACCTCGCGAATTACTTCCTAATGACTGTGAAAAATGGGCATCTTGAGGAGATTTTGGAGAAAGATGTTCTAAGAGAAGGCAACATTCAGCAACTGCGAGGTGTTGCGGACCTGGCTGTGAAATGCCAGAGACTGAATGGGGAGAAAAGGCCTACAATGAAAGAGGTAGTGCAAGAGCTTATGTGGCTCAAAGGTTCAACGCAACATGCATGGCTACAGAAAAACATCGAAGAGACAGAGCATTTACTCGGACACGATCCACCCTTTCCGAGCGACGAAGTAACAGGAAGCTTGCACATCAATGTAGGGGTCCTTGCCTTAGAATCCGGCCGTTGAGACTCACTTGCATCTTACTGTTGATGGAAATGACTACGGCCAGGTTTGGTTCATGGGAAATTTCTCTCCTAGAGAGATTCCATTGTCCAAGCTGCTATCTCATGTTTGTTTCATGGAAAAACAGCGATCAGAAAATATGAAATTTTTTCACAGTTGTACAAAATATTTGGTTTCATGGGAAAACAGCTTCATACCTTGCAAGGTATGAAATTCATGATTCTACGATTTCCCTATTTGCAGTTTTGCAGTTTTGCAGTTTGCAGTTTGCAGTCATAAGAATCTCTCTAATTCTCATGTTGTTGAAATACTAAATTCATGGAAACAGGTGACTACTTGTATCTTCTTTAGCCTGTAGATAGGGTTCCTCTTGCGAATAAGATATACGATTTGCTTAAATTTGTTTCTTCAATTACCTCAATGTATGCATCCATATATCAGAGAGACTTTTCGACGTTCTCCTAAAAAAGCTGTTGCCAGCCACAAAATATTTTGTAAACTGCTATGAATTCTATTAATGGATGAACCGGATTACACCGGCAATTGAAAATCATTTGAAATGATGCTATGTCCGAAGAGAATTTGATAACATTGCTTATTGTTAAGTTTTAGTAAGTCTGTTAGTGCCTTTAATATTTGGAAACTAGGTCGATTCCATTTGGACCTGGCCGAGTTACTCAGACTCGGTGTATTTTTCAAGAAGAGTACTCGAGCAAAACTCCGGCCAATCGAAAAGATAAAAAATCACAAAAATATCATAAAATTGTAGAATCAATGTAATTTGGATGTTTTTGTCAATGGCTTATGAGTTTTCTTGTAATACGCACTGTTTTATGTTTTCCTCCCTTTTTTTTTTTGGATTTTCCAAAATTCCTCCATTTGTATATTAAATTTTTGTAAATCGATGTATTTTTATATATTTTTCAGCTTATTTGGACGTTTTATATTGTTTTTGGTTTAGGTTGTTTTTTTAGAGATTTTGTGACCCTATATGCTGCTCAGCCAAGTTCACTCTGACACACCTGAGTAACTTGGTTCAGGCCAGGGCAGAGGT